CAATCAAGACTGCAGATCTGTATAGGTGCTTGAGGCCCCTATATCTGTCACCAGTGCTCAGTCACCAAAAAATAACCTTTTCATGGTACAGCCAAGAACGATGAACAAATAAAGGAATAAAAAAGTCTCAAAACAGATCAAAAATCCCAGCAGTTCTTTCTCTTCTAGTCCCTAGTCAAAAAAGTTGTTCCAAAGAAAAATAAGAAAAGAAACCATTTGATCTGTCATAGAATCTGTTCTTATGCCATCTAATCTACTACAGATTTGTGGGCAAGGAAAGAAAGAAGAGAAATGACAGTATGAAGAGAGAATCTTAGTGGGCCTGGCGACACTATTGTTATATTAGGGTATGGGAAGATTAACACTCTGGATTACCTGCAAAAGAAAAGGCCTTTCCTGTGTATTTCCCTGAACTGGTGCACTCTTTGCAAATCCAATGGTGAATCTTGTTACCATTTACAGAAGAAAGAAGAGAAATGACAGTATGAAGAGAGAATCTTAGTGGGCCTGGTGACAATCTATTATTATATTAGGGTATGGGAAGATTAACACTCTGGATTACCTGCAAAAGAAAAGGCCTTTCTTGTGTATTTCCCTGAACTGGTGCACTCTTTGCAAACCCAATGGTGAATCTTGTTATCATTTACAGAAGAAAGAAGAGAAGTGACAGTATGAAGAGAGAATCTTAGTGGGCCTGGCGAGACTATTACTATATTAGGGTATGGGAAGATTAACACTCTRGAKTACCTGCAAAAGAAAAGGCCTTTCYTGTGTATTTCCCTGAACTGGTGCACTCTTTGCAAATCCAATGGTGAATCTTGTTATCATTTACAGAAGAAAGAAGAGAAGTGACAGTATGAAGAGAGAATCTTAGTGGGCCTGGTCACAGTCTATTACTATATTAGGGTATGGGAAGATTAACACTCTAGAGTACCTGCAAAAGAAAAGGCCTTTCTTGTGTATTTCCCTGAACTGGTGCACTCTTTGCAAATCCAATGGTGAATCTTGTTATCATTTACTAATTTCCTGTTCCTTTGCTGCAGATATTTGGGCTTGGTTTTTTTCTCTATTTGGGTGCAGGTAGAACATGCCAATGGAGATTAAGTTACTGTTTGACCCTGCTACCTTTGCTTGGCCAAAAAGAAGGGAAAGAATAATGTGGAGGTGCACTAGAGCAGCAGTGATTTGGACCCTATGGGAAGAACAAAATGCAAGAATCTTTCAAGAGAAGAGAAGGCAATCCAGGTCCTTTGGGAATTGGTGGAGTCATAAGGAACACAAAAGGGAGCATAAGGAGCACAAAATGCAAGAATCTTTGGGAATTGGTGGAGTCATAACACTTTATTCAGGACCGGTTGGGATTGGAGACTCTTTAAGGCTGAACTGTTTGCAGTATTTCTTTTTTGATAAATGAGAGTAGTTTTATTAATTCAAATAACGAAAATACAATCAGCCTAGGAGGAGGCATGAGATGTTACCTCCCCCGAGAACTGAACCATATACACTAGACATGCCCAAGCCTGAGACACAATTACAAAGTAGCCCAAAACAGATATCCCCTTGACACCCCTTGCATGGCCAGAGAATCAGCCATTGCATTTGCTGATCTTCTGACCCACTGAAACCTGACAGTCATATTTCTTGCCATCCATTTAACTTTCTTTAACAGATCCCTGTAGCCCCAAGAACCTGTTTCTGGGCTAATCAGCCAGCCTACTACTACCTTGGAATCCCCTTCTACTAACAGATTGTTCACTCCAATTTGACAGGCCATCTGTATACCTTGTATCGATGCTAGTAGCTTTGCCCTTATAGAATCACCTTCACCCACTGGTCCTGTAAATAGAGACAATATATTGCTATCTTTGTCTCTCAGAATCCCACCAATTCTGGATGGCCCTGGATTACCTTGGCAGCTTCCATCAAAATTCAATTTTACCACTCCATCCGGTGGGGATTTCCATTCAACTTGTAAATTGATCTTGGTGGAGACTGTAGAAGCCACTGCAGCCTAGTTTCTCCTTAAGTCATCAAAGGAGTAATCTGCCAACAAATGTGAAGATTTTAACCATGAGATAGTCCTTCAATACGCATTCCTTGATTTCAGCAAGACTTCTTTCCTGTTCTTGAAACATTCTAGCATATCTCTCCTCCCATAAAGTCCACAAGGTAGCAGCTCTGATACATTTCCACATTAGCTTCCCTCTTTTTGTTAATCTCCCAAAAGCATCCGGAGTAAACAGCAGCTTTACTTCAAAGGGCAAGTTCCACCTGCACTCAAATAAGGAGACAACCCAGTTCCAAATATTGGCAGCAAAGGAGCACGATATTAGCAAATGGTTACAGTCCTCACCCTTCACTTTACACAGAAAGCACCAATTTGGGGACAAACACCTGAAAGGTTTCTTCTTTTGCAAGGTTTCCACAGTATTGATCTTACCATAATAGGCTTCTCAACAGAACACTACTATTTTGGGGGGAATTGGTCTTGACCAAACCTCTTTAACAGGGAAGACCTGAGAGGAGGGGTTGGAGCAAAGGGCTTTAAAGAAAGAAGCACAAGTGAATGAGCCAACCGGGGTTAGGGACCAGACTCTTTTATCCAGGTTAGGGGGGTCCAAACACACCGAATCTAGAAGCAAAAACTGCTCTGAAACACAAAGAAATTCTTCATCCTTTAACCCTCTTCGAAACCCAAAATCCCAGTTTAAAGCCAAAGGGCAAACCGGGGGGGAAAGGAACCATGAAATGGGTTTCTCTTTAAAGAGGGAGATGGAATAGAGAGAAGGGAAACAGTCTTTTAGGGGTTGAGTGCTCACCCAAGTATCTTTCCAAAAAAGAATGGAGTTTCCAGAACAAGCATCGTACCTTACAAAACTGAGGAATTTAGGGAGAATGCTAGAGATAGCCTTCCAAGGTGTTATGAGCAAAGCCCTTTGGGATACCCCCGCATCCCAACCTGATTCAGAACAGCCATGGATACTTTTCACTACTTCATGCTACAACCTCTCCCTCTCTAGGGGCCACCTCCAAATCCACTTACCTAAAAGAGCCTCATTCTTACTCACCACATTCCCTAAGCCTAGGCCTCCTTCTTTGCTCCGAGACACCACCCCCCACCTAATCAAGTGATCTTTTTTCTCTTCTCCAGGTTCCTATAAGAAATCCCTCATCAGTTTTTCCAACCTCTTTGCCTCCCTTTTAGGAATTCTAAAGACTGACAAGAAGTATAAAGGCAAGTTGGCTAATGTTGCTTTAATCAAAATAACTCTACCCCCAACGAAAATATAGTTTCTCTTCCAAGCTACCAATCGTTTTTCGAATTTTTCCACCACCGGGTTCCAGAACCTACTTTCTTTTGGATTTTCACCTAATGGAAGTCCTAGGTAGGATAGAGGCCACTGAGAGCAGGTACATTCTAACAAGGCTGCTATAGACTCCATCTCCTCTCTGTTCAAATGAACTCCCACAACACAACTCTTCTCAAAATTTACCTTCAAATTTGATGCCCTCTCAAAGTGAATTATTAAATCTTTCAGATTCCTTACCTCCATCAAATCACTGAACTGTTTGCAGTATTATAAGGTGTTCAGATTGCAAAAGACTTGAACTTGGAGAACCTGGTAATTGAAGGGGACTCCAAGGTGGTGATAGGTTGGTTAAGAGATCCGGACTCGGTGATTTAGTGTTATAGAAATGAAATGAATAAGTTCTAGTGGCTAACATAGCAGATGAATCTAAGTATACAATGGATGGGGAGAGAGGCTAATGCATTGACTGATTCATTAGCTAAGCAAGGGGTAATTAGCGATCAGTTGTATTGGGTGCAATTTTAACTCTATACTAGCTTTGTTCCAACAATGAGGCTGCATCTTGCGCCTCCCTATGGGATGCTTGTAACAATGTCTATCATTATGATTTTCAATGAAATTTAATGACCTTTCACTTATCAAAAAAAGACATAAAAGTAAGTGAAAATGACACATACCCCTGCATCACTTAACAAGACATATTACAATACTCCCATTAATCTGAACTGTAAATTTTGAGTTTTGACCAAGGAAGGCTTCTTCAAGACAAAAGTATATTTCAACGACTGATTGAAAGGTTGTTATATCTACTACAGATTTGTAGAGAAGAAAAGAAAGAAGAAAGAATAGAAAGGACAGAATGAAGAGAGAATCTTAGTGGGCCTGGCAGCACTCTATTATTATATTAGGATGGACATAAAAAAATAAGTGAAAATGACACATATACCCCTGCATCTTAAAAGACATATTACAATACTCCCATTAATCTGAACTGTAAGTTATAACCAAGGAAGGCTTCTTCAAGACAAAGGTATATTTCAATAGCTGATTGAAAGGTTGTAGCTATGCTTCACAAGGCCCACTAAGATTCAATCAATGTAGTTATTTAGCACATACATCAATCTCTACTTCCTCATATAAAACAATTAAGAGATCCTATTGTACTTGAGAGAATTGGTAATGAAATTCTGTATGATAATCATGGTCATCTTAGAATTGAAACTTGTATTAATACAAATTGAGTTGGCTCAATTGATAATAAATCTAGTAGCCATTTATGTTGCTCATAATCCAATTCAGCAGGACCAAACCAAATGCATTAAGGTTGATCAACATTTAATCAAAGAGCAAATTTAGTGTTGTTTATTAGCCTTACATGACTTAGAAATCAATTGGCTGATATTCTTACAAAAGAAATTGTTAGAAAGCAAATGTATATTATGGGAAAACTGGGTATTATAAATATGTACGCTCAGATTGCATAAAGGCATTTTAGTCTTTTGCAGCCTTTATTTTAATACCAAATTAGGGCTTCCATATCTCTTCCTTTTTTATCTTTCTTTTCTCTCCTTTTATTCTCAATCTTTTCTTGTTTATTGCATCTAAACCATTCTACCAACTGACAATCTCATTAACTACAATTCCTTAAACATATACATATAATAAATGAAAGTAAAAGAGGCTTCTAACTTGGTTCTGAACCACTTGAGAAGCTGTTCTATACCGCTCACGTATAAGCCTTCCTGGTTCTCCTACAGAACAAAATGGAAACAATTAGATATGAATACATAGTTCTATTAGACCTATTTTGAATATCTTATTTTTTGAAAATAAAATGGAAGCAATAATTTGACATTATTACTTTGAGAAAATATATGATATGAAAACTCAAAGAATTAAAAGACTGTATATCAGCTTCACAGTCTAATGCAGAAAATACAAGAATCTGTACTAAGAATTTTGAATAAAACCATTTTTAAGCATTAAAAAGGACATGGAGAAAATTATCTAACGGCAATATACAGTCATATTAGCAACTCAATTAATAATTTTAATTATTTATATTTGTCAAACAAACTTCACTTTTATTAGTAAACGTAACTGCATCAAACAAAAAAATGTCAAAGCAAGTAAAGGGCCCTACACCCAAACAAAGCTAGCAAGAAGGAAAAAGAAAAAAAAAGAAAAAAGAAAAAAGAAAAAACATTCTACATGAAGTTGCATCAAAAGGAAACAAACATTTGCACCCCTCAACATGAAACTGTCATATCAAAGAAAGCCCCGCATGGTTAGAAGCCCATAAGAACCAAGTTCCAATAAACCATATTAGCCAATCAATTATCACAGCCCTACCCAGATAAAACAAGACACTAAAACAGTTATACAACCAATTTTCCAAATGGTTTATTCACAATCACAAATACACCCCATGCAATCTCCCCCCCCCCCTCTCTGGTACTCTTAGACAGCTTTCTTGTTTAAGGCAACCTCTCAAGTTTCCTACACTTCCTACCATGCACAACACTAGAGTTCACATATTCCAACTAAGCGAAATCCAGACCTCCTCATTTGTTAGACAATGTACCCTCAACTCCAATTAGACTGATATACTCTAACATTTGTTAGTGAATAAAATCAAAGAATTATCATTTCATGTGTATTTGTGGTGTGTTTCTGTGTATTACCCCTAAAACTATTGTACTGGTGAATTGGTGGAGCAGTTTGTTTCAACTGCTAGGGTTAGACCCAAGATACAATTAGTGGGTGTTTGCTGAAACACTGAACAAGGACCATTTCTAGTTATGCCCTGGACCTTGGAGATAGATGGGTAAAAATGGAAAGTTTCACTTAACCCTAGACTAAATAACGATGATACTAAGTGTTGGACTGGGATGCTTTTGATGTACCAACCAGTGAGATCTTCTAAGGATCAAATACCTAGGTATGTTGGAGCAATTTAGAATATCACTTGAGTAGGTGATCATTGTGATAGGATCAGCCACTCAAACAAAGAGAATATCTTGGTTAACGATCTCTCTAATGGAAACTTAAAACTGTCGATAGTGGATTTTAAGATGTTTTGGAGTCAATTTGAAAAATGTATTTATACGTATAAATAGTTTATTTTATGAAAGGGTTTGCAAAAGGTTTTAAACTCAAGATCTATCTAAGCACAGAGTGTGACACTACATTTCACAATTAGAGAAGTCCTTCCTTATGAGCAGTGAATAAATTTTATGGGCTAAGAGGTTAAGAGCATAAGTCTTTTGGGTTGAAACCTGATGGGCTTATTTTTCACACTAAACCATTGGTTTTGGGGTTCATATGGTGGCTAAAACATAAAGATCACGATGTTTAAGTGTTGGCCTGGTTTTAAGCCCAATTAGATTGGATGGTCGGTTCACTAGGTTCAACTAGCGAATTCAGCCCATGTGATTCATTGCATGGGCCGAACCCATATGATTTAATGTGAGAGCTTAGTGGGTCCCATGCCATACAATATTCAGGTCAATTGGCTAGTCAATGTTGTCAATTATAATGACTTGAGTGTGTTGACCCAATTCCCAACAAGGACTAGTTTGACTAGTCGCATACCTAGTTTGACTAGGAATTTGAATAATTGGTTAGTTTGGGTTGAATTATGAAGGGATAGGATTCTTTCTTAGTTCTAATATGATTAGCATGGATTCCAGATTAGAAACTTCTAATTGAGTTAGAAATCCAATTTGGAAACTCCTAGTAGGACTGCAACAGTCCAGCTCTATATATGATAGAGCATGGGAGAGTTTAGTATGAAACTATCTACTCTCCTACCTCCAAACCCTAGTTCAACCAAGGCTGAAAAGGGAGTCTTTTTATTTCTTTTCTCTCTGAGTTTTTCCAGCAAAAGCACAGGTTACTCAAGGTGTTAACAGCTGCATCCAATAAGACTTATTGGACTGCTCATCAATTCACAAAGGAATACTAGACCGAGTTCTTGCTATTGGACTGCGTCATCTTCAGTTTGCAACTTGATTTGGACCTGAGTTTTGAGCGTGAATCACCACTTTAGGAGCTGAATTTTGGTATCCACATCAGGTTACATTCCTACTTTGATCTGGACATCAAAATTTGATTGATCAATCCTAGACCGATCCTAGGAGAAAATTGTTTTCCATGGAAATTCCGACCTCTCCTTCATGGACTGATTCAAGATTTGAATTTTGCATCAAGTAACCCAGTAAGATTTGACATTTTTGTGCTTAAATCAGTCCACATAACATCATTCTCATCCTCCAACACATCCCCATTGGACAGAAATAATGCCTGTTTTCTTGCAACAACGTCGAATTACTTTTTGGCCCCAATTTGTTCTTCCAATTACCAAAAGATGGCCTTGGAGAAATTTATTACTCTCATGAAGAAGAGCCAAGATTCTTTACCACTTAAACATCATGGCAAACAATCTGATCAACTGGGAAGAGCCTGTCCTGTCCAGATGGTAAACCTCATCAATCACAAGATCATCCACATCCTTCTTGGATGCTCCCCCTTCCTCTAGCCCATCAATATCACCCCTGCCCCCCACCAAGCAACCACTTCCCCTTATTAATTTTCTCTGAAAAATATTAGGGTGCTTCCATGGCTGAACTCCAACAGTTGGGGAGGCGGGACCTCCTGACTCCAGCAAGATAGACAAGTTAAAATTCACAAACAAAGTGGCACCTGTGTCGCTGCCACCTTCTCAGTTTGCACAAGAAAGAACACTTGACTTGTGGAAGCACATCTTACCAGCTCTCTCTGATTCCAGTTCTCCAGCAGACATAATTACCGGTTCAATTCCCATGGCCCGAAAAATAAGCTCTGTCTGAAATGTCTTCCCTTGTCCTTTTCCTCCCCATATACCTGTTAAACAAAATCACATTAAGAGTAGTACCTTGTAAGGTTCTTGTGGCATATGTTAGGAAAATCAATAAACAAGTGCATTTATATGAATATCTTGATTATGCAAAAAAAAAAAAATCTCATTGGCACACTTTTTTATGAATAATGAGAGGTTTTATTAAAATCTCATTGGCACACTTCCACTGCCATTTAATGCACAATTATTGTAATCAGAAAAAGATATCAAATTAAAATTAAAATTAGGACATAAACATACAATAAAAACTTGCAGCATAGGAATATAGCTAGGGAAAGTTGCAATTATTCAGTTTCAAGATAATATAAGGACAGAAATAACACATAATTTTGATTGCACATGTTTACCTAGGATAAGAGGAACTTTTGTGTTGAGAGTATGAGCAATGTAATTCTTCACAATGTGGCATACTGCAAAAGCAATAAACCATGTAAGGAAGCTGATAGAGAAGATGTCCAAATAAATAGAACTCCATACCATGGGTGCAAAATTAGATTTGTTTATTGCACAATTACTTCAATAAAAAAAAAACTTCTAAAATGCACTGCATCTGCATTATTCTTTCAGTTTCATTTCAAACATAACTGTAGAACTGTTGCAACCTTGATAGAACTCCCCCTCTTGAAGTCAAGCCTGCCAGACATTCTTTCCTCTTAAGTCGACCTATCATGAATTGATTGGTTATGTTTAAGAGGGATAACCAGACCTCCATTCATTGATCATCAGCTTTGTTCAAAGAGAGATGAAAGAGAACAGCAATGGTCATGCCCTACATGGATCTAAGTGGCTAAATGCATGGTAATAACTGAATAACAAAATAAAAATGTGGAGTAACTAACCACATGAAATAAAAATAACAACCCAAATATATTTGTAATTGTTAGTGTCGACTGAATAGGGGTAGTTTAGTCTTTCTATTTATGTTTAAGCTGATGTGTAATGTTTATGTTAAGTGATGTGTCCCATACTTAAGTAGGGACATAATAGTCTTTTGTTTTAATTGAATAGAAACATATAAATATAACCTGGCCGACTAGAGAGTGATTTTGCTCTCTAGTTCGAACCAGCCTTTTCCTTCTCTTCTCTTTTCTCTTTGTGATAGAACAAGAATTGGAAGAAATTGATATCCTTCAATTGAGAAAATAGTACATATATATACAGCCTTGTAGATACTAAAAACGGAAGAAAATCATACAGCCTTGCAGATACTAAAAAGGAAGAAAATCATACGGCCCTGTAGATACTAAAATAGGAAGAATTCAAAGAAAGAATAATTCCTATAATCAAGCTATTCCTAATTGGGCTAATACTWCATAWTTACAGCCTATAATTACAACCTATAATCTCGTAACACTCCCCCTCAAGATGGAGCATAGATGTCAATCATGCCTAGCTTGTTACAAATATAAGAAACCCGAGCTCCATTAAGAGCTTTTGTAAAGATATCTCCTAACTGCTCTCCAGTCTTCACATATGCTGTAGAGATCAACTTTTGTTGAATTTTCTCACAAACGAAATGACAGTCTATCTCAATATGTTTAGCTCGTTCATGAAAAACTGGATTCGAAACAATAAGAATCGCAACTTGATTATCGCACCATAGCTTCGCTGGAACTGAGACTTTAAGACCGACCTCAGTTAAGAGTTGAGAAACCCACATAACCTCACA